ACTGCGGTGTTCTCCACCCAGTCTACTCTGGCCTTTCTACTACAGCACTGCGGTGTTCTCCACCCAGTCTACTCTGGCCTTTCTACTACAGCACTGCGGTGTTCTCCACCCAGTCTACTCTGGCCTTTCTACTAAAGCACTGCGGTGTTCTCCACCCAGTCTACTCTGGCCTTTCTACTACAGCACTGCGGTGTTCTCCACCCAGTCTAGACTGATTTTCAAGGGACCCTCAGGTACTTGTAAGAATATACTGATAGTGACTGGTCTCTGGGGCTCATTGGCACACTGAAAATTTAAAAAAAAAATTTATTGTATTTTATATTCAGTATTGTCACAGTTCTGCAATTGGATCTAGTTATTGAATTGCGTGCTAACGTTTATATATGAATAGTAATTATTTTTAAATATTTTCATTCCCATATTTTGTAATCTTGTTATGCCTGTATCAGTATCAATAATATGAGTCCATATAATACTTGTCTGTGCGCTGGCATGGACTGGCATCCCATTCAGGATGTACCCCTTCCCTGTGCCCTGTGATACACTGGCATCCCATTCAGGATGTACCCCAGCCCTGTGCCCTGTGATACACTGGCATCCCATTCAGGATGTACCCCAGCCCTGTGCCCTGTGATGGACTGGCATCCCATTCAGGATGTACCCCAGCCCTGTGCCCTGTGATGGACTGGCGTCCCATTCAGGATGTACCCCTTCCCTGTGCCCTGTGATGGACTGGCATCCCATTCAGGATGTACCCCAGCCCTGTGCTCTTCCTTGCTTTATGGGATTTCAGTCCTGCTTCTAGGAGTCTGACACAAACTATCCTAGTAGTGCACCTCACACTTGTATTTAATGTTTCCCATTCCTTTCGAAGGTGACTAGATGTCATCCTACGATTCATGAGAAACTGTCAGATAAGTTAACAGCCATCTCTGCCATTTAGTCACTCCTGCCCTTCACCTGGCTGGTTTCTGGTCGTTCCCAGTGTCTCTTGCTTCACCTTATTCTTGTGTGCTGCTGTCTTAGAAACTTTGAACCTGGGAGCAGCCTGCCGCTCAGGGTAGCCTCCTGCCAGCAGAACCAGGATTAAACCAGGATTTAAAAATGCAGATTTGTTCAAAAATGCAGAGTGACCTCTTAGTTATTTCCATCGTTGTTTGTCTGAAATACAGCATGCTTGTTCTTTAACCAAAACACATAGGGGTAGGGCCCACTGAAAATATAGACCTGTGCTACAGCTAGTTGTTAGAGGCAACAAATTACAAAAGCACAAGGCAATCCCTGGGCACATAGTCAGGCCATCGCAGGGCACACACACTTACACACAAAGGGGAGTCTGGAGAAGCCAGTCTTTCTGATCCACATGATCCTCTGCCGAGAGCTACTGTAAGAGCACTGGGATGAAAGGGACTGTGGCAGTGGAATTCAAACTTAAATACAATAAAATAATTTCAGTTTTTTTGTGCTGTAAATGGTTGAGCTTGTTACAATTGTGTCCAGTTTTATAGCATTCATTTTGCAATTTTACAGTATTTTAGTGTAATATCAACAGGAAATTTTAAACCATAGATACTATAGGCAGTATTCTTAGATTCTGATACGGTGATGTTTTTCTGTGAATGAGCTATTGTTCTGGCTGTGTCTGAAATACATTGTATAGCTCTTGCTCATTTATTGGAAGCTGAGCTGTACTTATGCCCCTGTGACTCCTTGAATGTATGCTGTATGCTTGTACTGTGCCATTAGTCTCCTACATAAATGTTAATGTGAATAACGTTAGTGACCGTACGGAAGGTTAATGCAGCAGCACGGCGCTTGGCGTCCGCTTGACGGCGCTGTTTCCCGTTGTTTGTCTCCTCTATTCTTCTTCTCTGGTTAGTTCGTGGGATTGAAACATGGGGGAAGCTGAAGCAGCGCAACCGGACGATAAACACGTAGATTCAGGGGTCTGTCCTGGTGAAGACCCGGTAATATGGAGCCAAGAAGTGGAGGTGTGTCTCTTCCACGCCATGCTGGGCCACAAGCCCGTCGGTAAGGTTATTTTTTTGATGGATTTTTTTATCGGTTATGGCCGATGTTTGCTGGCTGGCCCGTTACAACAAAGCGCCCGGATGACCGGATGATGCCGAGTCCGATGGCCACTTGGAGGTTTTAAAGTATCGATAATTGACCCATTCTGCTTAGTTTGAGTCACTCTTTGGCTGTTTGGTTATGTTAGAATGAAGTCGATCGTCTCTCTCATGTTGGCTGTTTACATGGGAAGGACGACTGAGCCATTGTGACAGCGACCGCAGCCCAGACATGCGCGGTGTCATCAAGCGTCTCACATCGCCAGCTACACATGAGACATAACATCACGGATGTGTCATTTAACAGCTGTTTGGAATTGCGGGAATACTGTGACATGTGGTTTATAAGCTCTGTGTGTATATTATATCTCACATGCATTATGTGACAGAGGTTCGTTGAAATAAACGTTTCTGAACCAGGATAATTATAACATGATGTTGTTTTTGCCCTTTTAGGAGTAAATCGTCACTTCCATATGATATGTATTCGGGATAAATTTAGCCAGAACATTGGAAGACAGGTGTCATCAAAAGTCATTTGGGACCATCTGGGAACAATGTACGACATGCAGGCTCTGGTGTGTGTCCCCACTTTGACTTTTCCATTTCCGTCTCGATTTGAAGTGCAGCACTCAGCATGCGAAACAGCACGTCTCCTTATATCTGTGTCGTGCCATTCTTATATTGCTGCAGCATGAATCCGAAATCTTGCCATTTCCCAACTCTGAAAGGAGTTTTGTTCTACCAGAGGAGATCATACAAGAAGTGAAAGAAGGTAAGTAAATAAATAAATAGATAGTACTGTGACCTTTCCATATGCATTCTCTTTTTTTGATCAATGGGACTGGTTCTGCTTAGGTAAAAGTCAACCACTTTTGTCACTCCACAGGTAAGCTGGTGGCAGACGATGAAGTCAAGGAAGAGACGAAGGAGGAGAGGGAGCCACCATCGGCACACGAAGAAGGTCCTCGCTCGCCTCATACGTTTCCCCCATCGATGTGTATACATTCTCTTCCTTTCCTCGTTTTAAAGTGCCTGTATTTACTGCTGCTGTGCAGCTCATTGGCACGCTGATCTGACACCAACCAGTGTCCCTCACTCTGGTCGTTTATGTCTCATTTTTAAGGTCTGGGTCCCAGTTTGGCTGGCCAGGAGTTTGAGAGGTATGGACAGAAGAGCACATTCACTCTGTTCCAAAACTCCAACATGAGCCCAGTACAGACCAGCTCAAAAGGCCCCTTTTAAGTGACTGTGGCACAGACAGTGTGTGTTACCCCCTCCCTTTCTCCCCCATCCTTAGCTAAACACGACTGTCGGATGTGTATTTTTTGTGTTTCTGGGGAGCGGGGAGGGGGGGGACTGTGAGGAGCATGGCATGCCCAGTCAGAGATGTTGTACGTCACTCCCCTTGGCGGGTCAGCGGCGGGTCCAGGACAACAGGTGCGGCCGCTGCTTTTCGAGGCGGTGCCAGTAGGGGGCGATGCTTAGCAGCAGCTCGTGCCGGGCCGCCTTGTCCTGCTCCATCCCCACCTGCTTGCCTTCCCTCTGAATGCAGCATTGCGTGTCGCTTCTTAGACTCACAAGCGTTGCTTATTTGCTGTCCACTGTGCACAGAATTACTAATCTGGTCTGATGCACTTTTCAGTGTCCATCACTGCGCATCTCATAGATAACTGCCATGATCGGTGACCCCCCCCCTTCATCTCACCCCTGAATTTGAATTGGCTGCACGCACCCAGCCGCTGACCCCCTATGAGCAGAAACACTCAAGTAATTCTAGTAGTGAGGAACCAGGAAGTGTCCCTGGGTCGCTTCATCTCGTGTGGTTTTTGGCTCCCTTTGACTTTCGTGTTGCACTTGTCCTAATTGTTTCTTCATCGGCCCGAACTCGCAGCGGAGGAGTTTTCAGCCGCGTTTTCGATTCACAGGTGTCTGTTTCCCATGGGGAGTGTAGATCATCACCCGAGTGACTAATCGGCTCACCCTGTACATTTTAATTTCCTGGAAACGGGTGCTCTTACTGGTATCGGTTGTGTAAGATGATAAACTCAAAATGTAACTTCTAATAAACCATTAAAGATGCTTTCATAGACTGTAACACTTCAATCACATACGGAAAAGCAATGGAAGGGTGGGGGAGAGACCTCTCTGCTTTCTTATCTGGTCTTGGCTGCAGTGTAATCTTGATGTCTTTGGCTCTTTGAAGCACTTTAAACAAATGTGCATCCCTGTAATCACTGAACGTGCCTGTGATGTCTCTTAGCTCACAGGAAGTGAGCGTGACATCCCTTCCTTTAGTTTCTGTCAGCCAGTCGATTTGCACCCTCTTGACCTGCCTGGTCTGTCCCTTGCAGGCAGCAACTCGTCGGTGAAGATGAGCGAGAAGGCCAGCCACAGAGACAAGGAGAGAGACAGAGAGAAGGCTTCCGGTGACATCTCGGCCAAGGATGCGGCAGACAAGCGGAAGAGGAACCGGGCCACTGAGAAGGTGCTCAGTTCCAACAGCAACCCCTCCAGTCCCGGAGGAGCCAAGCGGCGCAGAACGTAGCCAGCGGGGGGCAGCCTGGAGCTAGTGGCACTACTGGCCACAAAGAGGCAGGCAGAAGATCTGTGAGGCTAGGAGGGGCAGCAAGGCCGACGGCATGCGGAGAGGCGGAGAACCATGGGAAGGATGGTGACGTTGCGCAGGATGCGCACGGGCGTCTTGAGAATTAGGTCGCAGGGATTTCAGGCCCTTGGAGATGATGTGTCCACTGATGTATGTGAAGCCCACTGGCCTTAGACTGAGATTCAGTGCACAAGTAGAGTTGGTCAAATTTTATATAGAACTGAGGTTTTATATAGAATTTTTTGCAGGATACAGTATGAGCCCCTTGCTGTGTTCATGTGGGCTTTTGTAGAAAATAAGTGAGATGGCCGAATAAATGAGTTAATTGCTCACCATGTGCCCTCTGCACACCTCAGTGGAAAGGGTTTGAATATTCTCACTGTTGCCCCCTTAGGATAATTTCAAGAAATGTGAACGTAAATTTCAGTGAACGCCTGTCTTTACCAAACTGAAAGATGGTTGGAGAATGTGAAGTAAGGAGGTTTTGATACCACAGTAATGATGGAGAAATCTGTAATGTCAACAAGACAATTAGTTATGCCTTCCATATCACTCATAAACATACAATCTTCTTTCAGCCTTGGAACAAAGACACTACTAGAGATTTAATCTATTCGTTAGTGATGTTACGTCTTTTGTTTTGACAGATCCCTTTGTGTTTTTTACCCATGCGAAGTTTCAATGTGTTAAGGAAAATGGAAATGCACGTCGATGGCCTGTTTAATATTAATGCTGATACGTGTCTCGTGTTCCTTTGTGATGGTGAACTTGACTGGTTTTAACCAGAAGCCAGACCTTGTGTTATGTTGCGTACCTGATGTTTCACTGTGGTTAGTGTGCAGTGTGCACTTTAGATGAACTACATTTAAAAATAAAAAAAAAATCCCCAGTTCTAGTGCCTGTTATATACGGGGGGAGGGCAGAGTAATTCTTTCTTAGTAACGGCATCATTATTGTAAAGGTGAGTCATGTTGGTTTGTATGTCAATTAGTGGTATGTGGCAGCTTTAAAAGAAGTCTGGCAACGAGGCAGATAGTTTGTGTATCACTCACAAAAACTGACATTTTTTGATGTGTGAAGGGAAAGAGTTTTGAAAAGTGTGACAGCATATATAAAATATGGACCAATATGGAATGTATTGGAAAAAAAGGAACAGCAGTCAGGTCACCAAATGAGACAGACAGATTCTCAGTTGAATAGCTGCAGAACTCCACAGAAGTGAGGCATTAAAAGTTACCACAGACCTAAATCAGCACCTCTATGTCCTGGTCTCAATAGAAACCAAATGTGAGCTTCAACAAAGACAGTATTTCTGGTTTGGCTGCCATTTGGAAAACGCACATAGAAGCCAGGCTGATGCGAAGAGCTCAAACCCTGCAGTCCTGAAGAATAGAAAAGGGTAATATGGTCTGAGGAGTCATCACTCACCCTTTTTCCTGCTGTCTGGACACGTCTACGTTTGGAAAAAGTCAAAGGATGACTTGGACCTACGATGTTTCTTGGTAGGGGCAGCAATTTTGTGGAGACAATTTGGCCTGATCCTCCATGCTGATGCATGATTGTACACAGGCCAAGGTATATGAGGCCATTCTACGTACAAGTACACTGCACGGCGTAAACACACTCCCTCATGTTCCCATACATACTGCTTACAGAGGTGTCATGAACACCATTTTGAAGTATAATGCCTCACATGGCTACCCCTATAACCAGATGTGAATATCATGGGATTATGGGAAACGTTATGGGAATGTTAGGGTGGTGTATGGCTCTGTAGGTGGGGAAACTGTGATCAGTAGTTGCCTGGTTGGAATTCTGTCACCTGGGCAGTGCTGTGTTGTCTTACACAGGCATGTGTTGTGCTTCTGGATGTGAACAGACTTTTTTTTTAATGTTATCTAAAACCTGAACGAAAATATTATTCATAACCTGAAACATGGATATGTTTATATTCATGACTTATTTCGCAAGAGTTTGTGGAATTCATTGGACCGTTATAAAGCAGTGTAATTTTTCTTTCTCCATTGCCTGTGAATATTTGATAACAGTCATTGCTCCCCACCTCAAATTATTAATCATTTTTTTGTACATTTCCTTTCTTTTAATGCTTCTGTAGCCAATAAAGTATTTTTTATTTTGGTACTAGCGATGAAATACCTAGGTTCCAGAATTGTGATTCATGTCTATATGGTACAGCGCCTAGTATGCGGTTTTAGGTTGAAAATAAAATTAGGAAAAACCATCTATAGGCAATCATCAGTATACCGATAAATATCAACAGTTTTGGTTGGCTTGTTGGGACCTTTATCCCGAATGCTAATTAATTACATACATTACCACTGGAGGGCGCAAGACGTATATATGTATTTAAGGACAATTTAATTAAACAGAACGAATTTGTACTTCCTCGTCAATTAAGAAAATATAGCAGGTGTCAGTGTTTAATCATGAAAAATAAACACATGTGTTATAATTGTTGTTATTGTAATAGTAATGTATCCTAAACAAGTATACTTTGGCGTTCTGGATGTTCCCAATGTCCGCGATAGCCTCCTGCCCAGAACAATTCAGTGGATGTTAAATTTATACATTGTTATAATTTCAACAAAGTAACGTAAATATGAGATAGCCTTGCAATTTTGCGCAAACTTTCAGATGCTGCATACCAAAAAAAGGCTTTCTTCCAGTAGTACTGCAGAAACGCTATTTGGTATTTTAAACGACTACACGTGTACATGTGTGTCAGCATAATTTGATAAGTCTGTTTCGGGAACTGTTAAAACCAAAGACATGATGAATACGAGTATAATTAACCGTTTCAAAGGTTAGACAAATAAGTGTAAAAGTAGTAATAATAGGTGATTCAGGAACCATCTTGCGGGAGCGTGAGGGTTAAACCATTCGCTGTAAGTAACAGCAGTTCATTGTAAGATTTATTTTTTCCCCCTGGTGCAATGTTGTTCCAATTCCCCTGCAGTGCGATGCACAGCTGCAGCGCTAATGTTTTAAAGCAGAGCCAGTGTGTGATTGTATTTGTGTGATAGCATTATGCCAAGGGCAGGGAAGGGCAGGCGGGCCCAGACTGAGCGGCGCCTATCCACACCTGGGGAAGTTCAGGTTAAATAGCTCCACATTCCTGAGCGCACAGCTGATTGAAACATTAACAAACAGTAATCCGTGAGCCAAGCTGCAGATGGGCCAGGACTGTAGCCAAGAAGTTGACTCTGTGTGTGTGCGCGCACGCGCACGCCTTTGTTTCTCTATATAATATTGTACATACACATGTGTGTGTGTGTGTGTGTGTGTGGTAGTAGTACTTCATATTTGACGGATTTCTTGAAGCATACAAAACTCAGATTAGGAGACAAGACTGCAGTGGGCTATATTCGAAGAGGGATGTTATCGTAATTATCTAAATTAAATCTGCTTAGAATATTCGTAAACAATGTACTTGTCGGTACTTATTGACTACGTGAATACAGTACGTTATTTATTTGACAGATTACAGCTTTGTTAATGATGGCTGGATGTGAGCTGTCCGGATTAGAATGGTTTGCGGTGCGAGATTGTACGCAGATTGTGTAAACAATGTGGTATTAAGGTAAATAATCACAGGCGTCCTGCTGAGATTTACTGCGCCTCAGAAATAACCGCAACACAAATGGATCATTTCAAAATATTTCGTTTTAATAAAAACACCATTTACGTACATTTTAATAAAAACATCTTCACATCTTAAAGCATTGTAATATACAATACAGATTAACTCAGCAATCTGAGAAGTTGTCATTTTTTACAAAATATAAAATCTCATCTACGCGTAAATTTAGCAAAAAGTACAAAAAAAGTGAAGGGAGGGGGGGGAAAGGAGCAAGTCTTTTTTGTTGAGTCCATTCTAAGCAGCGGGTCGGGATGCTGCCCTCATCTCCCCTGGACTCTGTGCCCCTCCGTCTGGACCATGAAGTTCTTCTGAACAACGACTTTGTTATGCACAGTTCCTCTTCACTTTCAGTTCATACGGGGATTTTTTGGGACATCATGGGAATGTTCTGCAGTTCCCCTTTTTATTCAAGGGAGCCGTTTCGACCATATTGTTAATATAGCTGGTTTTACGCGCATCACGGTGGTTTCCAGCTTTCAAATCAGCGGCACAGAATTCTGTCGTCGGTGCATCCATTCTGTAAAGGAAGGCAGAAGGCAAGTTGTAGTCAATAAATGATCACTTTCAGTAATTACTCTGCCCTAGTTATACGACAGCTTGCAAATTGGATAAACCAGTAAACCTTCAATTCTGACAGCAGTTATTAAAGCATTTTGACAATTACCTCGACAGAGACGCTCTTCAGCTCTGCGTTTAGGGTTGTCAGTGGAGTGCGGCTGAGGGTTGATCCATTGCTAGGTTGTTGACGGCTCATCTCCGGCGAGTCGAGCTCTACCTGGAGGTCCCAGATGTAATAAATGACGTGCTGCAGGATCTCCATCTTGCTGGCTTTCTTGTTAGGTGGCAGAGTAGGCACGAGTTCCTTCAGCTTGCTGTAGCAGCTGTTCATGTCTTGAAGAAATACGTTCATCTGCTCGTCCAGAAGCGGGATTTTGCATTTAGAGATGGCAAGGCTCTGGTCGGACAGGCACCGCACGACGTCCTCGCTGCCAACCTTGTTCTTCAGTGCGCAGGTAGATCCGATAACTTTCATCTTGGCGTTATACTGATCTTGGAACAAGAAGCTGAGGCAGCAAATTGAAGTTGCAGAAGCAAACGCTGACGACGATTCGATGAATAAGCGCAGGGTTACTTCTCTGCAGCTGGCAGTCAAAAAAAAGTTTACACACTGCGGTTGTTTTTCCTGCTGAGATCCGAATTTAACAGCTTTTTGAAACTTTGACAGTTTGGATTAGTACGGGCTTTCCACTCACTATTTATGCTTCGCGAAGATTTCGGGGCGTAACCCAAGGAGGTAGCTTCTGCCTGCGCGGACCAATTACATTTTCTGATCTACACGCGGGGCGGGAACATTAGTCTTCTCTCAACCAATAGAAAAAGCGAGTTTGGTTATCAGAATTTACAATCTGTTTAGGGATGGTGTTACAAATGGAAACAAATGTGTTTTTTTATGGATGACATGTGGGAACTCGGCTGTCCGTCGCTTGGGGACAGTGCAGGTGTCTATCCTGCCTAGATATGGGCGACAGGCAAATTCGAAGGAATTTTGTAATTATCCTGGATGTATAGTTATTTACGTTTAACTGCATTATAATTCATGTCATTGTGTAACCTAAACACATACAGTAACACTATATTTTTATATTAAAATAAAACATGTCTCACATGTTTTATTTTGTGATTACTTCACATAAATATTCCTTTAGCATTATTAAGCCACAAAAAAATCTCTTGAAATTTAATATTAAACATTGCGTTAGCATTTCATTTTAATTTATAAAAATATTATAAATAGATAACATTATAATATATTTATTCATTTGTTAAACGAGTATCCATATGTACTGCTGTGTGAATTCATACACCTAAAAAATATCAGATTATAGGTTTCTACGGCTCTAGAACGCTGGAGCTTATCTTACTTTCCCTATGTCATATTTGTTTTTTTAACGACCCAGCTTTCCCGCCCTCTCCCCATATTAAACAGATTACAGCTACGGGCTTTACGAATTCTTCCACATGCTTTCATTGTGTATTTAGCGTTCTGTATGCGCAGAAATCGCAGCGCTCTGGTCTGAATCTTGCTCAGATTGTCCAAACAAGCCAACGCAGACAGGCAGGCGCCAGTTCTGTGACGTCACCCATTCATACGACTCCTGACGCCTGTCAGCCTGGCGCCGCGCGGGCGGTCTCCATGGAGACCACAAACAACAGGCTTGCACTCCCCCATTCACCTGCGCAGCGAAAACCCTGAGAACAAAATGGCTGTAGAAATCGTTATTCATTTATCACGTAAAACCACTCTTAGAAGAGATTACCGCCCCGCACACCTGCAAACTGCTATTGTCGCCAGCTTGCTCGATCAGCTTCCAAAGGGAAAAAAAATGAAAGAAACAGAGAGCTTTGAATTGCAGTGATAGTTCCTGTATGCCACCAAATCCGAGTTTTCTTTTTCAGACTAAATTCCTTTACTTTCCTCCCACAGATAATGAGTTTGATTAACTGAACCCTGCAAAGCCTAAGTTAAGTTGCTGGCTACATTCTCACACATAAAGCCAGTTAATACGATGTTTTTATGGCTATGAAATAAACGTGAATTTGTATGCTGTATATGTAAAATAATGGTGATTATAACATATACACATTTGTAGGTTTATAACAATAATATTTATGTACTAATACTCTTAATATATGCTTGCAGGTTTATTAGTTGAATTAATCTGTGCTTCCAGATGAAACGTTTTCACATAAAAATTCCGTTATTGTACATTTACAAATATATTCGTGTTTTTTTGCAAAGTAGGCTGCGCCGTTCATTCGAAAATTTTAGTTAAAAATTTTTATATATAATATTTGCTAGTTATTTACCGTTATTTTAATAAAAAAAATTTAAGTTTACCAGAAAATAATTTTGAAAATTCTGTGGCAATACATTGGTTGCAGAAACCTTTGCATGTGCAATTGATTTAAACCTAAATATAAGATATGCATTTGTATATTTAAAAAATCCTCCAAATGATAAATAGTACACAATTAATATTATGGTATTGTTATTGCTGCACAAATAAACATTCTGTATGAACGCTTTGCTATCTCTTGCATTTGTCTTGCCCTCTCACTTTCCCTCTCTTACTGGTAGTGTGACACTTTGTCTCTGTTAGCTGCATACTTTTTAACATCCTGCTGTCTCGCTGTCCGCTGTCTCGGGTCATGGCTGAGGGAGCCAGGGGCGCGTGAACAATGGGGCCGCAGAGCAAGGATTGTGGGAGAAATCTAGGCTGGAGCCACTCTGTCTGGGGCTCCCCTTTGCTCTCTCATCCAGCTTTTGTTCAACTGCAAAAGCTATCAGCAGTTCCTACTGACACCAACAATAACTGCACACAGCTGGGCTCTTTTAATCTTGTTTACAGCACATCAAGGCGAAGGGGGAAAGAGGAGGGGAAAAGAGGAGAAAAGAGGAGAAAAGTGAAACATATTAGCTCCTGATTTTAACTGACAGAGGGGAGAAGCTTCCTACGGACACCGGATTTTACAGTGGTTAATTAGAAAAGGTTTGTCCTATAGGTGGTGGGTTTTAAATGAGCAATTAACTGACGTGTATAAATATCTTTGTGTTCTGTCTTTAGCTCTGTGGCCGTTAGCTTTGGCCCCCAGCCGTGTGCTTATCAAGGGCCATTGGAAGTAAAGTTTAACTTTTGTTGCCGATGTTAATCCCCAGCTGCCAAATACCAACAGTCACAAACACTAACTCAGGGATGACGGGGAACTTGCAAAGATCTGTTCCACAGCAGATTCCACCAGCGCCGCGCCTTTTCCTGTTTCATGGAGACTTTTCCTTTTTAGAAAGAGGAAGTCTGTCACCAAGTACGCCCTCTTTATCTCGAAGAAAAATAGCCTTTCAGGGGCTGTAAATCGGAAGCTGCACGTGAGAAAGCTGAGTGACATATTAATGATAAGTAAAGAGGACATTCCAGAGATATTTTAACACTTTTTTGCACCACTGTTCTTAGTATAAGAGTAACAGTTTCTTGTGCAAGTCACTAAACTAATCAAAACTGCAACATGCAAAACAACTGCTGAGGTGGGAGGCCAATAAAAAGCTGACTTTATCAACATGGGTCTTTGAAGAGGACTTGCTGAAGGCAAGGCAGAGCAGCTTGCTGCTGGGTTCCAGCAGTCCATAGGGAGAAGGTCAGGGCTGTTCTACTGCGGTACTGGCATCTATATATGTATATAGTGCATGCACAGTGCTCACAGTCTTGGAACGCTGGCTTAATTCAGTAAAAATATTACAAATTTATTTTATAAGAAAAATTACCTTATTCATTTGTTTACAAAAATGTATATATTAGAAACAAGCACTAGATTTAAGGAAAACATTCATTTCATGTAGTAATAAACTGAAATTTGAATTATAATACTAAAAGATTTCTTCTGGATTAAAAAGTTCATTGACAAGCAGTCTCATTTGGTGGTTTATAATTAGTAACACTTTTGCAATAACATGAAACGCCAATCATTTGTGTTTAGTATCCCTTTGGGAGCCAATCACTATGAATATATGTATGCAAATGACCAGTACCAAAATCAAAATAGTTTCTCGTGTTCTCCAAAAAGTTACTGATATCTTGTTGGATGACTAGACGGACACTACTTCAGTTCCCAAACTCTCCTTGGGGGGTTCCCCTTGAGCACAATTAATTAATTAACTTAATTAATAAAAAGCTTGATGAGGTTTTGAGGAGTCAAACATTGTATGCTATTAGTAGACTATTGAATTTGTTGCAAATACTGGAGCAATTTTAGGAGAGGTTTTGCAATGACTAACACACTTTGACAGACATAAAATCATAGTTTTGCACATGATATATGGTTGTGCATATATATATATATATATATATATATATATAAAATATGGTATACATATATCACTTGTGATTCAGAGGAAATGAAATCCCCAGTGTCCAGAATCCTATTTCACTGCTCCTGAGTTGTTCTTTTTATTTGTGTTCACCTTATAAGTCTGCCTTGTGCTCCCAACTTAGAAATATGAGTCATTTCCACCGTAGTCATATTTCAGACTGGCTTTGAGGAAGCATGTCGTGGCATCAAGGTCTCAGTCACCTGTGCTGGACATTCCTGACACATCCTCCCCACCTGTAGGTTTGAATTTCCAGATCTCGCTGCTGCTGCTTGACTGATAAACATCACCTGTACAGGTGTTTAGTTCCGGAGGGGGGGGGGGGGGGGGGGTGGCACTGACTATGCACATAAAGTGGGAGCATAGCTTCCAGTAAAATATAACATTGTATTTTTGTAAATCAGTTTGGCATGGACACTCCAGAAGTGAAATGAATGTGTCCTGGATGTGTTGTTATAAGGTGTCTAAATGGCTGAGAAATGATGGCTGGCTTTCCACAGATTGCAGGTGCAGCTCTCATAAAGCGACAGACAAAACTGGTGATTTTGCTTCATTTATTCAGCTTATGTGATGGAAAGCAAATTTATTTATTCAAATACGAAAGGCACTGCTTGCACTTTGAATATGGGGACATATTTTGTGACTTTTTGTGCCCACATTCCTCATTTTATTGTTCTTGTCCACAATAGCAATAAAGTTGACTTTGACTGATAAACAGGTTAGTTATGACACTGTTTGCTGGAATATAATTGACATTAATATCTGCTGTCCTTGCATCTAATGTCTGCCCCTCAAGCATAACAGCAGTATCCCTTGAAACGGCTTCACTTGTGGTTGTAGAAGTAAATCTTCTCCCTGTGAATAAGCAGACTGGATTCTGGACTCTGCAGTCAGCAAATCCAAGGTCGCTGGGCTGCTGTGACTAAGAAGCCGTCAAACACGGTGCATTTTATTTGCAGGCTCAGCGTGGGGTCTTATGCTGCAGTGACATTTGAAAAGTGGTGACTCTCCCTGCTTTTTAAGCTCTGGGATCTGGAGTGGATATTATACTTTTTACAGTCAAAGCTCAAAGTAGGAACTGAAGTTGTGTTCAATCATTGTTTGATTTTAATAACAGTGTGATTATCAAAGGCCTTCAACTTTTGTCAAAGCCCCTCTAATTCCCTAACTCCATGAGCCATATTACATAATGGAACCTTTGCTTTGAGTTACATACGCTATTCATTATCGCCACAATTCTTTGTAATTATTAATTCTCTTTATGTCATGTCAAACAACATTTTGGTAGAAATGCTTTCTGGAACACGGTATGGTCTGTGGCCTTTT